GAAACATTCACAACATTACTTGCTTATGTGGATGATTTGCTCATTGTTGGAAACTCAAAAGAAAACATTGAACATACAAAGGATGCATTAGATAAGGCATTTACCATCAAAGACCTTGGTTCACTTCGTTATTTCTTGGGAATAGAAGTAGCAAGAAATGACCAAGGCATTATTCTCAATCAGAGAAAATACATCTTAGATATATTACATGATATCAAAATGATTGATTGTAAACCTGCACAATTTCCTATGCCTACTGGACTGAGACTGTCTGCAGACACAAGTGAAAAATTTCAAGAACCTGAGCAATATAGAAGGTTAATTGGGATATTCTTATATCTGAATTTAACAAGACCAAATATATCTTACACTGTACAGCAGCTGAGTCAGTTTATGAATGAGCCAAGAATAGCTCATATGCAAGCAGCTTTATTTCTTGCAAGATATCTGAAAAACACCATCAATCTTGGTCTCTTTTATCCAACTCAAACATCACTTGAGTTATCTGCCTTCTGTGATGCTGATTGGGGATCATGTTTCATGACAGGAAGATCCTTGTCTGGTTACTGTATCTTCTTAGGGAAGTCACTCATCTCCTGGAAGACAAAGAAACAGAAAACAGTAAGCAAATCAACTACTGAGTCAGAATATAGAAGTATGAGTTACACTGCAGCTGAGATTGTTTGGCTTGATGGATTACTTATGGAATTACAACATGAGATTCCAAAGCCCATCTCATTATATTGTGATAATATGGTTGCTCAACATATAGTCCAGAATCCTGTATTTCATGACAAAACAAAACATCTTCGGATTGATTGTCATTAAAAAGTGTACTTTTTAATATTAATTTACTCATTTTAGTAAAAATATTTTACTAGCAAAGTTAACATACATATTTTTAAAATACAACTAAACAAATAATCTTTTTAAAATACACATGCATTCAATCAGCCACTTCAGCCAAAATATAATCAAACACTCCTACTTCACTAATAATTTATGCAATTTTTACCATTCCAGTCAATTCAGCCATTGTAGCCATGAACAAAAAGGCCCGAAGTTTAATTTGACAAGCGTTACCCTCTTTTGAATTATTTGTGAGAATTTGAGCTTTGAGAGAATTCCCTAAATAGGAGTAAAAAAGTTTTGAAATTCCAAAATAGGAGTATCATGTTTTTATTCCCTAAATAGGAGTAAATTTCTGCCAAGTTTGGAAATTACAAGGCTTTAAACATGGCATTTTTTTTCCAAACTTGGCAGATTACTCCTATTCAGGGAATAAAAAACATGATACTCCTATTTTGGAATTTCAAAACGTTTTTACTCTTATTTAGGGGAATTTCTGGATTCTATTCAATACGGAAGAACAAGATCGTTGCTTCTCTATCCGTACTACGTACACTGATTATAGTCGTTTATTCTTACTTGTTAACTCAATTCCATTGGCATTCACCAACTTACAAATTCATTTGAAAAGTTTGGAGAACGAGTGATGTGAATGAAATTAATTCCTTTTAAAATCCAAATTAATAGACGTTTACATGGAGACTCATAGCCTACCATCGACTATATTGATTGATTCCATTGAAGTTGGGCAAATTCTGATTGAAAAAATTATATTTAAAATATATTTTTAATAATGTGTGTGTGAAAACACCTAAAATGATTTTCTACATTAACTTTAGTCAATATAGTCATAAAAGTAAGTTCGACGTTACTTTTTCTTATTATTACACAATTCAACGCATAAATTAGAAATTATGTGTTTAGTGAAAAAGTTGACTGATAAGTATGATGAGCCGGAAAACATAGTTACCAAACGGGCTCTCAAAAACTATATATCATTCTATCTACATTCTTAAGTCTTAACTAGTTGAACGAATTTGAATTTAATATTTCCAGTTGCTCGACTATAATAACTGTTCTAACAATCGTTCCAGAAACCGACTAGTCCCCGCTTAGGTGCTAGGCGGTGGCTGGCCATCTCGATTTTAGTCTAGGCGCTCCGACTGTTTGATTTGGTGCGTAGTTCAATTAGTCAGTTGCCTAGGGCGCCTAGTTGCCCGCCCAAAGCACTTAATCGACCACCTATGCATCTAGATTCTTTGAACATTTTAATTTTTTTTAAGTATTCTAAGTGATACATGTACCTTTAACTTTAACAACGCTTATGAAGAAAGTTAGTAGTTGTAGATTAAGATAAAAATTATACATGTTTGATGTTACAACTCTATCATTTATGCATGTTAATGTATATGTGTGTGCATATATAGTTTTTATACACACACAAACACAACATTACTTATCATATTTATGCAAATGTATTGATAAAACTATAATCTCTATGCCTCCGACTAGTCCCCGACTAATCCCCCGCGTAGCCGCTAGGCGCTGGACTGGCGCCCGACTAGCGTCAACAGAAACAATCAATAGTGCGTTGCCAACAACACTCTTAAAACAATCAAGAGTGCGTTGCTAAAAACTTGGCTATATACTTCCTTCGTTCTTTTTTAGTTGCAACGGTTAACATTTCACACTTGCGCACGCACGTCTTTGAACGTAATTATATCTTAATCTCTATTAGTAAAAAAAATTAAAAATCAGATTTTGAAAATTTGTAAGGAGATGAATTGAACAATATGTTTTTTAAAAAACAATTCTCATAAAATAATTGCGGAAAATGTAGTCAAAGTAGAACATGTGATTAGTGTAAAATTCAACATGTTGCGATTAAAAAAAGGGAAATATGGAAGAATAGCAAAAATATCACCAGTGGACTTTGTGTGAACAAAAATATCACTCTCTTTAATTTGGATAAAAAAGTAACCATTTTTAAAATTAAAAAGCAATATGTTCTGCCGACTCCAAACCCAGCAACGAACGAAGCCTTCATCTCCCCCCATTGCCTCTGCATCTTCGAACCATGTCGCGGCCGCCGCCTTTCGTTCGCCATCTTCCTCTCGCGCCACCGCTACAAGTTCTCTCTGTTGCACTGCCATCTTCGGCCATCCTTCCTTCTATTTCTATCTAGCTGCAGGGATGACGCGATTCCGACTATAAAGGGGCTAAATCCGAGCTTCGAGGGTTGTATAAGGGGGCTGAATCTGATGGGCGAGCATCGAGGGCGGCGATCGAGTGCTTCTGGTTCTGGATCTAGATCCGTCAACCTCGGTGGATGACGGCTCAGGTTTGACGCAGCGGGTCCCGGATCTGCCGGATCCACCGTCCTCGAAGTAGGAGAGGGACCTGAAGGACCAATAGGGGGCGGCGCAGGGGGTGGGCTGGGTAGCGATCCGATGCGTAGATGTGGGGGCCGGGAGGGGAGGGGGCTAGGGACTGGAGTAGGCGGCTTGGGGCAGGGATGGGGCAGGGGTGGTGGATGTGGTCGGGCAGAGTGTTGTTTTTGGGCAGAGTATCTGGCAGTTACACTAATGAGGGTTGCTGCGGCTGGAGTATCTTCTAGTGGGCAGCGTCACTATGGTGACGTCACTGTGACAGTGTCACTGTGGCGACGAATGTCACCGGTCGGAGGTAGTGGTAGATGCCAATGTATTCGTGTCACTATAGTCAGAATTTGGGGCGGGTATGTCACTGCGGAGATGTCACTGTGGCCGCCCGCGGTAGCGGCGGCAATCCGGGCGCGGCAGCGACAGTGACTCGGCGGCTGTGACATGGCGGCGGTATCGGCCAGAGTAACTTTTGGCGGGTGGCGTCACTGAAAAATCAGTGTCACTAGGCAGTGACAGCGTCACTATTGTGTCACTATGGTCGTTGTCACTATGGCCGACGACGGTCTCCGACGGTGGCAGTGGTCACCGGTGGGAGGTGGTGGCAAGGAGGGTGGATGTCACTGTGTCTCGTGTCACTGTAGCGTGTCACTATAGCAGTGTGTATATAAGCAAGCTTGTCACTTATTACTTATTAGTCACATTTCAGGAATTTTTAAAAAAGGTCATTTCTTTGCCTATTACCCTTTTATTAGTAATATTCAAGACAAAAATCCTAAAAAGAGACGGAGGATAGTATAAGTTTGAACTTTTCTTTTATGTTTACATTTTTCGAATACTGAACTCTTTTCACTTAGTTGATTACATTGGATATTGTACTACGTAATATATACTACGTAGTACGTAACAATTTTTATATTTTTCCTTTAAGCCCATATAGGTCCAACTCTATTAGTAAAATGTAGGCCGACACGAACAAACCATTAGTTAATCTAGTTTGTATAGGGCCCGATCAATCCCAACCCAAACCCTATTAAAGATAAAGTATACTCAGGGCCGGTCCTAAGAAAACACAGGCCCTGTGCAAAATTTAATAATGGTTATAAGATTAAATTAAAAATTAATGTATCACTACCCAAAATAAAATTCATAAATTTAAAATGTGTTTGGAATTAAATGGATAATATTTTAAAGTAATATTTATATAAAAAGTTACAAATATAATTGATAAATGTAATGAATATTTCTTAAATATCTAATAGTAATTTAATTTAATTTAATAATAGCGTGCAATACTAAAAAAATTGTTATATTATGATTAAAAATCCAAATCAATAATGTTAGTTGATAGTATTTAGGCTTAAAGACTTTGGGTTATTTTAATAATTGTATGATATAAAAACAAAAATGAAAGGTTGTTAACATCAACCAGATGGTTGAGTTGGTTCAACATCTGCGTGCGTAAGAAATACTCCAGAGATCAAAACCCCCTGGCTACAGAACTTCTAATGAAGCATGTGTGCGCTTTTTATGTTTTGAGCTATATAATTGTCATAATAATATAAGGACTATTAAGATTTTGGGCCTTCAGGATTTACGGGCGCTGTGCGGTTGGACTGCTGGCACTTGGCCTGGGCCGACCCTGAGTATACTATACAAAGATCTAAAGAACCCTATTAAACATAGAGTATACTATAGAAAGATCTAAAAAAAACATTTTCCTGGATTCTAAAAATACATGCTATATTTAATTATTTATCAATAATGCTTTGCGTAAACAAAGAATTACACCTTTTGTACACATTTGTCGGTCAGACCTACCTCTTATTCACACTAATGAATAAGAGAGTATTTATAATGTGCATAGAAAATGTACAAATTAATGTCATTTTCAAAAAGTTATGCAGATCTCTACTCCTCATTCTAAAACCCGGCAAGACCTCCAAATTTGACACAATTATGTAACAACAAAACAAAAATAAATCTAAGACTTCAAACGAGACAAATTAAATATAAAAAGGTCCTCTTGTATTGGGAGCAGTAAATCACAACAATGACTCTGAACTCGCTGTAAAATGTTAATTCTTACTATCCCAAAAGATGTTAATGAAACTCCGGTGGAGCCTTCCATTCCTACATCAAAAGAAGATGTGGTGGCTGGACCTGAAACATAGTTATCTATATATATAGTAAATACGGAGTTCTGTATTTACTAGCATCGAGAGAGAAGGTGAATAATAAATTAAAGATGCTGATTGGCCATGAAAGTTGTCAAGTTGGAGAGGGAAATTTAAAGGTAGGTGGTGATGATAAGCTGGTGATTGGAAGGTGTAGGGAAATGTGTTTTTTGACATAAATATTCACATTATACATTGCATACATGTCCTCAAAAATCATTTTCGTCCTTTCCATGGCCAAATTTATTCCCCGGATCCGACCCGGATCCACTCAACCAGCAACCACAACCTCTGTGTCCTTACATCAGCCATACACTGCCCTAAGCTGAGCCATTGCCGAACTTCTATTTGTTCTTTTATGTGAGGTAAGTTTCGGATTGAATCGAACCTGCATTTTGGATTTTGAGAAGCTATCATGGATCAATGCGCGATTCCGGATTTCGAGATCGATGAGGACTACTGCTCCCCTCTTCCCGTTGTTCCGCAGCCGAATGTTTCTGGAAATACTAAGAAGTCTGCAGTGTAATTTGATTCCGTTTTCTCCTCCTTTTCTAACTTGCTTTCTGAGTTTGCGGTTGAAGCTTATTTGTGATGGCCATGGGGCTGTGATTTTGCAGGGCAGAAGAGGAAATCATGGAGTTATTGTGGCAGAACGGTCAGGTAGTGGTGGTGCACGCTCAAAACCAGAGATCTGTTAAAAAACCGACTCCGTTCGGCAGCAGCGATGCGACGATTCCGCTTCCTCCCGCCGGCGACGTCAGATCAGCGGCGGTGGATGAAATGCCAGCGCCTCAGCATCTGTTCATGCAGGAGGATGAGATGGCGGCTTGGCTTCAATGTCCTCTGGTTGAGTATCCTATCGACCGGTATCTCGGAGCCGATCTACTGTATCCGGCAGCTTCAGCTGCGCCGCCACCGCGGGACGGGAGACCATCCGCGTCTCAGATCCGACATCCGCCGGCTCCTCAGTTATCCGCCGACGCTCCTCGGCCGCCTATACCTCCCGGAAGGCGAACAGAACCGGAAAGCGCGTCGCGTTTCCAGAACTTGGGAAACCTACCGCGATTGGCTCGCCCGAATTTCAGAGCCGGAACGTCGAGAGACTCGACGGTTGTGGAGTCCAATGAGACTCCGATGGTAGGGAGAGAACACAGAGTTTCACGGGTAGCGGACAGAGCAGCGCAGATTGCCGGCGGCAATGTAGGATGCGGGATGGAAGCTGCTAGAACATCAAACGGAGGAAAGGGAACGGGAACGTGTGAATTGAGTTTGACGACGTCGCCGGGAAACTCCGGCGCCAGTGTCAGCGAAGAGAAGTCAATAGCTCCGGTGGCGGAGGATCGGAAGCGCAAAGCAAGGGAAACGGACGAGGAGGGCCATAACGCGGTAAGCAGTTTTTGCTCCTCTTTTCCTCTTTCCGTTTTCGTTAGTCATGTCGCGCACCGGCTGGCTATCGTGCGCCAGCTTGCCTTTCTGTCAATAATTAATCAATAATTACTCCCTAATAATATTACGACCCTACCGCAGTAGCTTTTCAAACTGTCGTTATGCAGTTGGATAATTGTTCCTCTCCCGCCATGATTATACGAAAGATTTTGACCAAAAGTAAGCTCACTTATATAGTCACTTTACTTCCCACTCCAATCTTACGCCGAAAAGGAACGAAATGTTTGCAATGCATAAAAGCCGGAATAATTTTTTTCAAGGATAGGGACATCTTAGCACATTAGTTTATTCTGATTATATACTCCATGCTATCCATTATCAAACGTTTCACCTTCCTTTCTGATGCATTAAAAAAATCAAACGTTTCACCAAAGTTTTACTTTGAATTTGCTATTAAGGTTGTTTAAAAAATGACGTTTTTGTCAAAAAAAAAATATATGGTGGTTTGATACTTTTTAACGTTTTCTAAGTGAAAACTTTGTTTGATAAGTAGTTTTTTGGTTCTAGCGTTTTTAGACAAAATCGCTGAAATGAAAACGCTGCAAATAAGAGAGTTTTAAGTTAGCATTTTGAAATATGACATTTTCTATTAATTGTTATTATTAAATAACTAAATTATCAAACATTTTCTGACAACCTGCCAACTTATTCTACTAGTCAAACCCGTTGATTGAATCCACTCTTCATAATCTGCTAACATAATCCATTAATTGCTAAATGTCAAGCACATACTAAACCCTTATTTATCTATTTATCCCAAATGTTCATCCCAAATTTGTCGTTCTAAATGTGTGTCCCAAATCGTGTTATATTTCTAGCACAATCATCACTATTTTTACATATTCAATAGCAATTATAAAATCTTAATTTGACTAGTGTTTGTGTCATACATCGTGTTTGAAATTGGTAATGGAACTTTGTCCATTAGTAATAGGAAAGTATGATAAATTGATGATATTTCATACCGCGTATACGTTCCAAATTGTTTTTGCAAAAAATGATTTACGGGGTTGTCTGAGCCTAAAAATTGTCTTGACCTACTAATTCAAGTTAAGTGGAGTTTTTGCCATTTTCAGTCCCACGACTATTGTGTCATTGACAACTTTTGTACTCGACTTTTAATTTTCCAATTTTAGTCATCGACTATTGTGCTAAGGACGCTTTTAGTCCTCGACTTCAAAGTTTTTCACATTTAATCCCCTAAGCATTATCAAGGTGACACTTTTAGTCCTTCCACTATGATTTTATCACAATAAGTGGAGGACTATAAATGTCATAATAGTTGAAGGACCAAAGTCCAAAAATGTCACTTTTAGGAAAGTCTAGGGACTAAATATGGAAGTTTTGAAAGACGAGTATGAAAAGTGTCTCTAGAACAATAGTTGAGCACCTAAAAGTTCAAAAAATAAAATTCAAGTACCTAAAGTGTCAATGGCATAATAGTTGGAGGATTAAAAGTGGCAAAAAATCCACTGATACTAATGGAAATTTATACGTAGTACGTAGTATATATTTATATACGAAAACTTTACTAAAAGTTTCATAGAATCTCTAAAAACATACACTAAAGATTATACGGTGTTCAAAAGTTTATACAAATCGGTGGCGGACCCAGAGATTTGTGAGAGCGGGGCACACTAGACACCAAAGTTAGTCTATAATAAAAACTCCAAATGTAATAAAAATAGTAAAAAAAAATGTATTATATTATACAGAATAGTTAATTACATATTAAATAGCCTACGAGTTTTTTCATATTCTAAAAATGTTGCATAATAGTTTCATTATTGATGCTTCTAAAAACATCTCTCTCGATGTTGTCCAAACAATCCGTAAGAATTAAGATGGTCACCTCTCATCTTATTGCGAAGATCTATCTTGATAATATTCATCGCAAAAAAGACTCTTTCAATGGTGACCGTTGCAACTGGTAACACTAAAGCCAACTCAATTAGATAATATACCAAGTGAAAAGAATTGTGAACTTTAAGCTCAATCATCTTCTTACAAACTTCACCAATACTTTTTGTACGGCAGAAAATTACACATTTGGTCTCATTTCATATATCCACACCTGGAGTTGCTCTTTCCGCTCCATTCGATCAACAAATGGAAAATCGCATGAATATAACTCCGAGCTTTGATTGGCAGAAATTGGAGAACTTCGACTTTTATCATTCTAGTCTTTCAAATGTTAGTGGGTTTTTAGATTTTTTATACTCTTTACTTTTAGTTGCCCTCACATTGGCTACTTTTTTGCATTTTAAATTTTTTTGTTACTTTTTGTTTTCAATTATTAATTATTTTTTGTTTTTTATAATTCTATATCTTTTATTTTAATTCAACTAAAATTTAAATATTTGTATTAATTTTTTATTTATATAATCGTAACATTTTAGTATCTTAATTATCAAATACTAGTATAAAGTCGGGACACTCGTTTTTATCAAATCTATACTAAAATTAAAGAATAAAATAAAGAGACCGTTTGGAGAACTCTGTTTTCGGCTTATCAGGCTTATCAGCCAGCTTTTTCACCAAACACGTAACTTTTACTTTCGCGCGCTGAATTGTGTAATAAGCCGAAAAAGTAAGGTTGGAGTTACTTTTCTGGCTGTATTGACTGAAGTTACTGTAGAGGACCATTTTAGCTATTTTTACATATAATTTTTTCTTTAATTTATTAATAAAATATATTTTTAAAATATTTTTTTCTTAAATCAGCAGAATCAGCCAAAACAGCCACTCCAGCCAGAATATCATAAATTTCAGCAGAATCAGCCAAAACAGCCGATTTTGGTGCTACCAAACGGGCTCAAACTGTGTTCACAATTGAAAAATACGAAGTATGTTGATACGGTGAAAACAATAATTTCGAACATTCATGAGGGCTGGGAATGTACTTGAGTACTGCCTCCAACTATATACGGAGTATGTGAATGAGAAAGTGCCATGCACCAACAAAATTACGTAGTACTACGGATTTAATGTTGAATTTCAGTTCTACAAATAATTTGAACCATATGGTGGGACCCTGAAGAACAAAGCCAAGTACCGTACCTGGCTTATTTACACCGTCCAAATTGATCATCCAACCACTCTTATTAGTCGGGCAGATTCATGTCTATCTCGACGTTGTGAATGTATCCATTACATCGTCTAATGGCTCTAATTTCACACACCATGATAATACTTAGCCGTACTTCAATTCGTCGATCCATTTGTTCTTTACGACTTTACCCAATTACCCTCTTGTTAAGTTAGCATAAATAGGGTATGTTTGGCAAATGGCTTATCGCTTTTAGCTTGTTTGACCCATTTTAGCTGTTTGATTAGTCAAAGAAGCTAATAATAATATTTGATAAATAGATTTTAAAATTAGCTTGTTGCGTTTGAAAAGCTGAAAAAATGGATGACTGAAGAAATTAAGGGGGGCAGCTTCTTCATTCGGCTGGTTCAATTTACACTCTATCAGCCATTTCGAAACAACCAATTTTACCAAACAGTTATTTATAATCAGTTAACATAACCAACCGGTCAAAACAGCTAACACAACCAGCTATTAGGAAACAGCTGGCACAACCAACTAATAGCAACAGCTAACAACCATTTACCAAACAAGGCCATAATGCCTTCCAGAAGTCCGATCCTTTTAGCAGTCGATCTTGAATTATCTATATTAAAATTTTCAAAAAAGTGCTCATGTGTTTTCACTTTACTGTGCAAATTCAAACTACCCCAAATATGAATTAGCTTATTTTCAATATCAACTTTACAATAATATCTTCATAAAAAAAACTTTACAATAATATCAGTATGTTTCTCATAGTTGGCGTTTTGGGAAGTCACATTTTGGACAAATTTATTTATTGGCAGAATAAAACAGCCACATATAAGGGGATACAAGAGAGTATTTTATTAGATTCTTAAAAAAGTCATTCAATAGTTCCGAACATTTCTCATTTACTTTGTCAGAAATTTCTATGGCACCATTAATATTTGAAAGGTTGGGTACATTAACTTTTCTTTTATTTGGTTGAAAATATAAAATAATGACCGTCGTGTGGTTCGGCACATTGACTTTTTAATTTGGTTGAAATTACTCCGTAAAAAATAATGACCGTCGTGTAACACTCGTGTTTCCTTGGAAGCAAACACGTATAAGTCATGAGTTCTTTGTTAAATAGTCAATAAAAACCCAAAACACTTCTAATTTTTCAACAATTGGTTGCTGAAACTCCATATGACTGTGGTCACTTCTTCTTCCGAAAAGGAATTCTAATTTGTTGCTTTTCATGGCGACAAGCATAGTGATTGTATCAATGGGTGGACACGGTTCCACTGTTTCTGAGGATCGAAACTAGTTCAACCCAAATGCAATTTTATATACGTGTGATGACCGGAACAAGTATGTATTTTGGATAGGACGACTCTAGAGATATGAGGATATGATATATGTGTATATTGTATAGATTATTGCATAGTTTAATATTTATAATTGTAGCTATATATATATATATATATAATAATAATAATAATATAAAGTAATTATAATAATGTATATTGTAAAAATACGTAATACTCCGTACTCCGTATTACACTTCACTTTTTAAAAATAATTGTTATGTTTCTTTTTTTGATAATTCACTTTTTAAAAATAATTGTTATATATCCTTTTTTGATAAAAATATGTGGTTCACATGATTTCAATACTTCTCACTCAAATCTCAACCACACTAATATCTGTGCAAAAAACAACACATTAATTTAGGACAAAAGTAATCTAGTGTAACAAAATAAGAGAATAATATTTTTTTAAATGCAATACATCGACACACCGTATAAGTTGTAAATTGTAATAAAATGTAAAAAACTAGTCAAACTACCCGAAATGTAAAAATTAGCCCACAAACAATATAATTGGTAACAGTTATGATTGTTGGGGGGTGAGGAACCAGCCCATCCAAAATCGGCCAAGTTCACCCCTATTTGTACTCTGGAATCGTCCGATCCGAAATTTAGCAAATGTCACATTCAATGGGACCGGTTTTATCACTTATTTTGCAGATGGCCAGATTTTTACATTACGGGCATGTTTGGCACAACTAGCTGAAAAGATACTTTTGTGAGCTTTTTAATAGCTGTTAGCTTTTAGTGACTGAAAAGATCTTAAAAATAAAAGGTGGTAGCTGTTTGATGAAAAGCTGACTGTTTGATTTAGTTCGGTTTGGTATACAAGCTGTTAGGATTAATTAATACTAAAATTCCCTAGCTTTTCTTAGATGCTACTCCCAGTAGCATCTCAAAAAAGATCTTTTAATTTTTGAAAAGCTCTTAAATATTGTCATGCCAAACACACAACTAGAAGCTTTTAGGAACTTTTTGAACAGTACAAAAGCTAGAAGTCAGGGACTTATGCCCGCCAAACATAGCCTACATCTAAGTATCTAACGGTACACAATTACGAGCAGACCTCTAGCCAAGCAGGAAAGTGGCCCCAGTTATGGCCCATAATTAATCTTATTATTAAGAGCGCAATTAGTGATGGTAATTACTTTTTAAGATACCGATGATGTTACTAGACTATCAGATTTGCATATTCAACGTTTGGGAATAAGGCACACATTATTACTCTAGCGAAACAAAAGTCCGAAGGCTAATCAATTTTCAAGAGTCCATCTCTGGTGAGTGGTGACAGTGAATTTGTCTGGAGTTGTATTCAGAAATAAATTTAAAAGTAATAACAAAAGAGTACGAAGAATAGATTATGAAATTGACGAGCATTTTTGGATGGGCGTGAAATTGAGAGCGTAGAATGAGATTGGAAGTGAGACGAATGATTGCCATTGGTAGTTGTGGGAGTATGGCTAGTAGTTGAGAATTATTATGAGTTTGATCTTTTAATTTGAGTACCTCAATTCTCAGTCTGAAATATTTATACCTTAGTTCATACAACTACTCCGTATCATATAGAAAGTGTACATCTCATTTACTCAAGTTTTATGCTATGTTGTAAAAATCGGACTGGTGAGCGATCAGGTCATGTGACTGGGTCACGGGTCAACCCAAACCCGGAGGGTCAACCCGGTCAAAACCGGAAAACCGGTCAACGATTATACGTCTATATAATAATAATAAACATATAATTATATACACTTTCATTATATATTTTTATTTGTATTGTACATTTATATTATAATTTGGCATGATTTTCATTCTTAAATAAATATATAAATATATTACATAGGTTTTCTTTTTAGGGAATTGAAATTGCAATTTTATTGGTTTAAAAAATGCATTAAAATTAAAAAAGAAATTACTTTTTCTTTGGAAAAGACTGAAAACCGGGTTTTCCCGGGTTTCTCGGGTTTCTTGGGTCAGGCCCGGATCGGATTTTTTCGGGTCAGCCGGGTTTTTCCGATTTTTGACCATTTTCGGGTTTTGAAGAAACCGAACCGGATTTTTGTCCGGGTCACCGGGTTCCGGGTCAACCAGACCGGGTCGGGTCGGTTTTTTAAACATAGGTTTTATCCTTGTATACTTTTTAAGACCGACAACTCCATAAGTGTCAATTCACTCATTCTTATTTAATTGCAAGACATTTGAATTTTACGTTTTAAGAGAACACAATTTTAATTGTTAATATCTTTAATTGACTATTAGTAAAAATTACTCTGTATAAAAAATCAAATTTTAAAACTTTACTTCTGAGACAAAATACTACATATGTTTTATAATACAATTTTTATGATAATAATAAATAAAATAAAATCAAAGTGCAATATTAAAGAACACAAGAAGTATGAGCTATGAAGCACGGATACTTCACTTGGGTGCCGTGTCGGCGTATCGGAACATGTATTTGACACTCTAGGACACCCATATTGTACGTTTCGGAGCCGTAGCTGCAATTTTTAAAAGTTTTCATTTTTTTGATAATTATTTTAAAATTTTGGATACGCGTATCCTGACGGATACCCGTATCAACCTTTTTTTTTAAAAAAACTTCCAAAACAAAACTTTTTTTAAAAAATACTCAAAATTCACATAATAAAATTCTTAAAAATGAAAAGCTAAAAATAATGTTTACCTCGCTTTTATGTGGTACACAATTAATGGGCTTATTTTTAATTCTCCTATCCCTAATTTTAATTATTCCTATAAATTAATAACTTCAACGGAAATATGTATTAGAACTTTATAAATATTGTTTTCTATCTTCATTATTCTAGAACTTTGAGTACTTGCATTTTTAATATCAAAACTATGGTTGTTTGACTTATTTCTCATTTTAGATTAATGATTTGTTGACAATATTTATATTTCAAGGTGCACTAGTGTATATGAGATAAAATATGAACTTATTTCTAATTATCTTGAAAATGTAAAATGCTTCAATGCCATGAATGAGTAAGCATCACTGTATCAGAGGATAATACATGTCCATTTTTTTCAAAAAATTATATTTTTAATATTTATAAATACATCCTTGTAACTTTTACTACATCCATCCCCCTAAGTTTGGGACAAGAGAAGGTTATTAATAAAAGTGGGTTTATGTGGTTGATATTGAATTGATAAAGTAAGATTAAAGTAGGAATGATTTAGAACCACACAAACTTTATCAAATAAAGTATGAGACAATGTTAGTGGGACGGACCAAAATGGTAAAATGAGACAATAATAGCGGGACGGAGGGAGTGATATTTATAAATACACCCTATAACTTTTAATATTTATAAATATGGCTCTGTATTCGTATCCTACTTTTTTTGGTTTTGTTGTAATCCCGTACCCGTATCCGCGTTTCCTCGTACCCGTATTAGTGCTACATAGAGTATGAGACACTACGTACTACCTCCATCCCTAATAAAACTTCCAAATAGGTTGGACACACAGTTTAAGATAGTGAGTATTGTGTGGTGGAGAATTGTGCAAATGAGAGAGAATGTGTAAGAAATGTTGTGAACCACAAATTATTTACTAAAAGGGGAAAGTGGGAGTTTTAATTGGGACGGAGGAAAAAAGAAAGTTGTAAGTTTACTTAGAGAGGGTAGTTCTAAATCTCGTTGAACTTGTCAATTTTTTACTACGTAGTTGACGTTATAAATCCATGCGACCCCACAATAAATGCCCATGTAAAATAACCAATCTGTTAATTTTGGTAACTCCAACCAAATACCTTGCGGGCAAATCTTTCCGTTCTCAACAATCTCAGGCCACGGCTTAATTCAGAAAAAAAAATCATGTCACTTTTATTAGTTTTACATATTGTCATTGATAAAGGTTTAACATAATTAACCAAAAAATATAAGAAAATGACACGGTCTTAAGAGAAGCAGAGGGTAAGTTATCATTTGGAAATTGGCACAGTAAAAAGCATACCATAAACATGTTTCACTTTTAAAAAATATCCGGATTAGACATGCATAATTTAAAGCAGTAAAATATAATTCTTGCTAGTTGCTTTTTTTTTAACAGAATCTTGCTAGTTGCTAGTTGGTTATTGTTTTTTTAATAAATTGATATGTATTACCATAGGAGGCTGAGTCAGCGTCTGCTGATGCAAAGAAGCAATCCCGTGCTTCTGGATCGACCAAGCGATCTCGTGCTGCAGAGGTCCATAATCTATCCGAAAGGGTACGTATAGGAATAATTATGCATCTTGTGATGAAGGAAACTTTCTTCATGCTTTCGTTTAATGATCATTTCTCAATGCTAAGCTATACAATGATAATGCAGAGGCGTCGAGATAGGATCAACGAGAAAATGAAAGCTCTGCAAGAACTAATTCCACGTTGCAACAAGGTTAGTTTTTATTCTTCCGTACAAGTGAACTATTGTATGATTCATTCATCATTTCATCCTCCTTCCTTTGTGTATACTGAAGTTATTCTGATTTCTGATGGCTCTTTTTTTAATTCAGTCAGACAAAGCTTCAATGTTGGATGAAGCTATCGAGTATTTAAAATCATTACAGTTGCAAGTGCAGGTATTTTTCGTTGCAAAGAAGGTGGTTATGCTCTTTCTCTTTTTGCTTTACAGTTCTGCATTTCATTCACCCTCCGTGGTAAAAAATGTTTCGTTGCCCGAAATCTACCCATTTCGAATAACTCTGTTTTGTTCATTCCAGCATATGATGCAATATAATGTGATTTGGACCCAGGACCCTCAATGCAGTATCTACATGTAGCCCTCAATGCAGTATCTACATGTAGTTATCTAATACTCCGTACTCGTATAGGACAATTCTTGGATTTCACAAAGATTTTTTCTCTTGAGTTCACATTCAATGGTGGTATAAATAAGAAATATGTGGGGTAAATAAGATCTATTACAAAATCAATCAATAAATGTTTGATATTGTATTTACCAATGCTCTTATTACTTTCATACATATCAATCCTCCTGCTATATTTGCCTCATTTTTCTACTTTAACCATTTTTAAGTGTTTTTATAGGTTATATTTATGCAGTTCAGATCTTCGAAATTTTACAAATTGGATACCAACTACTCAACTCTACTTCAAAATAGGTTTTAAAAAGTACTCACATGTTGTTAACCTTTGCATTTTTTAAGTTAAAACCAAACAAATCATAAATCATTTCTTCTTCATTATTCAATTTCCTATCACTGTGGTCTGTGGGTGTTCCGATTTCCTATCAAACCCCTAAGGATTCTGATCCTGAAGAACCAATGTTGTTTAACAGATGATGTCGATGAGTCATGGATGTGGAATGATGCCAATGATGTACCCCGGATTCCAGCAGTACATGCCTGCTGCAATGAGTCTTGGGATGGGGATGGGAATGAACCCACAGGTTGGACCGTACCCAACTGTTCTTCCAACTTCCTCCATGCCAAACCCTTCCCCTGCTACATCTTTGGGTCCAAGATTCCCTATGCCCACTTTTCCCATGCCTCCTCCCTTTCCAGTTCCTGATCCCTCAAGAATTCCAGCTCCTAGCCAGCCACCACCAGATCCTATGCTAAACTCGCTTGTCCCTCATAATAATTCTAACCAATCGCCTTTCCCAATTCCCCCCACAGATGCATACCAACATTATCAGCTTGGTCTTCACCACAGCCAAGTCACACATCAACCGGTAAGTTGGTATATGCTCATTAGGGATGGACCCGGTCTAGAACTGTAACTCTAATGGGGGTATACTCAGTCCAGTTACAGTTCTCTAATGGGGGTATATGATGAGTCAATTCCGGTTATTAAAGAGCCTTCTGGTTCTTGAATAATGCCTGGGTCACCCCTAATAAGGGTACATACATCATATTTGGTTTCTTTATCCCTTTGAGTTTTTTACTCACTAGCTCTTTACTCATCAGAAGATGGAACATCATATTAACAAGCTAGCTAGCAGCAGCAAAGATGTTAATAACTCGACGAACCATCAATATGGTAATTAAACTTCCTCTTCTTGCAGTCCTGATTAAGAATGGACATGGGAATTTTGTGGTACAAATAAATCATTCCCTATTTGGCTGAATATTGATGTTTAAATATATCTCTGCATTTGCAGGCTGAATTCCATGTGGATAGTTTATGTAAGAGGCGTCTTCCCAAACTAAATTTTGTAGTGTAAACAAAAAGAGGAACACAATGCAGAATTGCAGACACATCTGGCATATTTCATACAGATGAAGCTTACAGCTAACTTGTAATTAGTAAACCAATCTTCATTGTGATTTTCAGTTAATTAATGGAATTATTTCTGATTGTTTTCAGTTACCAATTGAACTGAGGCAATCGTTTGACAATGACTGCTTATTAATGGACAAGACTATGTAAATTCAAAGAAGCAAAATGTTCATTCTGTATTATGTAAGGAGCCCTTGAGTGTACGTTTGTAATCCCAAAAATGTCAAGGAAAGAAAATATGTATGAACATGTAAGCAAATTTTGGAAGGAAAGAAAACTTGGAACACAACTATTGGTTCAAAGTTCAAACTTGATAGTTTTAGAATGCGTGGAACATGACTATTAAAGTATTATTATGTATATAATATTTGTGCAAACTCTTTTCATTATCTAAAGAAATCCAAATTTGTGATAACATTGTTGATGTTTGTGCAAACTCTTCGAAAAGGTTTCTTTGTTTCTACAATACGACGTATAAACAATTTGTCCAAACTCTTTTATTATTTGTTTCTATTAATATAAAAGATTAAAAAGTCAAAATTTATAAAAATGGTTTTAAAATGATTTTTCCAAAAATATTACCGGAAAAAAGTTTGTAGACAACAATGTGACTAGTTACAATACGACTATCATAACCATTACACTAAAATTTAAACATTATCATAAGCACTAAAAGTTATTCACACTAAAAGTTACTCCACATTAAGGGTGTCCCGGATTCGGATTCTGGAGGATTTTAATGGAGTTTAGAATTCCGTCAAAATCCAGGTGTCCCCGATTTGGATTTCTGTGGAATTCATGAAAATAAGGGTGTCCTCAAACATTCCATATATTTCTATTGTTACTAATTTGGATGGATTTTGATGGAATTCTACATACAAAAACAATCCACCACAATCTTGTAGATTCCCCTTGGATTTCAAAATCCATGGTCATTTAAAATCCATAAAATACCCACTACACATAAAAAGTTACATTTTTGCCCAATATCTTTGTTTTAGTTATATTGCTCAATATTTCTTTTAAAACATAATAACATCACCTACTTCAGCCACTTTCGTTCAATTCCATAGCATTTTCAAAATCCAAACACACCCTTTAGCTATAATTTATTTTTTATTTAAAAAAACAAACATCACACATCAATACATCACACAAAAATGGAGAAGTACTTGAGAAAGAACACTAATGTGCAGACTAACTTTTTGAGGAGCAAAGATCATAAAATATTCTGTTTTATACCGTTCTCGCATCATCGTCATTCTAAAAGCAGCTTAAATCTTGCACAGCAGCACATAAGTTACAATCCAGAACATGCTTAGGAGCTAGGCATCAAGGATTAATGGCGGATAGGATCTGCACATTTACATTTCACCAGGGCTAATTAGTTGTGTTGTGTACCATGAAATACCAACATGTGTATCCAGAAAGCTGATTGGGAGCCATTAGAAACTTTGATTCAAAAAGGAAGTAATACCTTCTGACTAAGCATATGAAACTCTTCCTTTTGCATCGCTTTTTCGAGTTCCTATGGGTTGAGCGTTTCTCAGATAACTAATGGAAAAGCAAAAATCGAATAGCTGCATTGAGAAGAGCTTTATAGTACTTACAGACTCGGCATCTTTAGAGCAATCTATGCTGCATATAAGTTTCTGAATCTCCTCACTTCTTAAAGCCTCACGAATTTCACTTGACAAAGCTGATCAGAGAAAGTAACAAAAAAAAAACTGTTGAGAAAGAAAGATATACATAGTATATCTTTAACACATGTTTTGTGCTTTGGTTTCAAATTAAGAATACAATAAACTGAGAGATGTTCATAGTATCTACATATACCTACAGACTCAAATTGTGACTGCTTTAGCTCCTCACTTTGCTCATCGACGTAGACTGGTTCATCAACATTCAAAGCTGGTAAAGACGATGCTGTTATACACGAAATGATCAACATCAACTTTGCGCCATTTATCCTAACTTTATGAGTAGGCGTATTTACATACACATTAAAATTTTAGTAGAGGCATACCACAAGCATTTCTCTTGTTGTTTTCCTAGAGTTCAACTAGGGTTTTGACAGTTGGGGGCATTCTTAAAAGTTTAACCGTTGTAATGTCAAAAGCATAAGTGGCTATTAGAGATGGGCATCACAGTCTTAAAACACATTTAGTATGTTTAGATCTTGGAAAATGCTAGGTAAAGGAATCAAAATGCCTTTAAATTTTTTTAAGAGGTATCAGTATAGTAGATATAAATAAATAAACAGAGTGGAAACAAATATCTAAAATTAATTTATTGAGATTTCCTACCTATTTTCTTTCCTAGTATTTTTCACGTTCAAAATGCACCTGTGGAGTTCGTTTGAAACTCGGAAAATGTATGAGGGGGGGATAGGCTAAAATGCAATAATTACATTTGAGATATTTGTTGATACTTTTTTATTTATGTAACATGAAAAATCTAGGTATATAGTCCTATATACTACTGAGCATTTGTCTTTTTTTCCCTAGCATTTTATAGGACTTAATTATAGCCTTAGCTAATTCCAGAAACGTGTCATATTCACTACCAAAGGGAAAATGGTGGAATATTTTATAATGGAATCGTGTGAAAGATAAAATATGAAGGGAGGGACATCCAAAAAAATTGGATTATGCTTCATTCCTTCCATTATTCAAATAATATCAATTCACATACTCTCAGCAAACAGTATACCCCATCGTCCTTCTAGTCACATCAAATGCTATCTAATAATTTTTCAAGTCCAAACAAACATGAATGCATAATTTTTTTGGACACTGGAAACTAAGAAATTACACTAAGGCTAGTTTCTTGCAGGGAAAATAACTTGTAAATAATGTTTTTGTCCAAAACAATTTCCTGGAATATAAAACAGTTCGTTCTATATTTCTATCTGTAATATAATACTCCGTATATAATAAATTTTATCAATAAAACGAAATCCAAGAAATGTTTTTTTAATTATGTAAAGGCTAATAAATCTAAACTTGTGTACGCTTTTATGAAGTGATACTGGTATATTTTCTACTCCGTATTCATATTCTCCAAGGTAAAACCAATCATCAAAAGACATTTTCCTTTGTTCCCCCCTCCCTTTCTTTTACCAACTTATGAGCTCCAAACATCGACTTAATTGTCTTTTCCCGAGTTACAAACACAGGAAAAACTTTTTAAGAAAATCTTTTTTCCATGTATCAGGCAAATGAAATAAACATATGGAGTCTTAAAATGAATATAACCGGCTAGTAGCCATATAAAATCCAGGGTGATGGCACTAATTTATGGCAGACTATCGAAATGGACAATCAGAAAGCAGCATTAACAAGAATTGAAGTAATGGAAGAGCAGAAGGCAGTATAGTGTGTGATTAAACGGTTATTCTACAATATGTTTCTTAGGCTCAGCACCCAAAGAATGGGAATGGAATGATGCAATTGTACTGTTCTAAAAAGAGCTAGACAAAAGAGTAAAGCATAAATATGATCAGGCGGGGTAAAGTCAGGGAAAAAGTACAGGACCAAGTGAACTCTAGTGCCTAAGCGGGGAGTTTCAGAACAAGGAAAATACAACTAAGATTTACTATCAGCACAACGCATTGATCACTGGAATTAGCCTAAAGATTCTAATTTCTTTAAGAACATAAATATATTATCAGTTATTGAATTCATTTCTTGTGTAGATATTTATCTTGTTAGTTATCCTAAGTCATCCTTCATAGGTCAAATGGGGGAGGGGGTTGGAGGGGAAGAGGGTTTAAAGAGCTTGATAGCAAATTATTCAGCCAATTTTAGTGTTATCAAACGGGTTCTAAATGGGAAGAAAAATTGGAATGGGAGGAGTATTTTATTGGAAAGGGAAACCAAATTAAGTCAAATAATCATTTAACAATATAACATAAACACATTACACATTCAAGGAACACAACAAAGAGGAGTAAATAAAACAATTGCTAAATTGATAAAGTATTCAATTTTCTATAAAGAAGGTTCAGTTTATCCAAAAGAGTTTAAATCCGATAGAAAAGCTTACCCAATGTTCCTTCAGAGGAAGATATCGGTTTTTCACATGGAATTTCTGCAAATTTGTCACGCTTCCTCAGGTCAGTCAGTCAACTCCATTATGTCTACTTTCATAATAAATAAAGAAAAACATCAAGAAACCCAAAATAATAATGAGTCTTTATGTAATAGGAAGTCCAAGAACGAACCTTTGTGTTTCTTAAAGCATGACAATGAACAACTGCAAGAATTGAAAAAAAAATGATCTTTTTCAGTTATTCATCCAATAATCTTTTTCAAATAAAGATGAAAGGCAACCAAGCTTACTAGGGTATAACGCAGTTGGGGCATTTGTATTTTGACTGAGATTCATCGCAAACTCCACACTTTCTTGGCCCCATCTCTTCTACTCAACTTCTGAGCTTCAAGAAACACAAGAGAACAGGGGCGTAGCCAGGAGTAGCCCAGGAAGAAAGTTGGGTGGTCAGTTATGAACTAAGTTTAGGAGGCTGTGGAGCAGGGAAGAGCAGGCGACTGGGCAGAATGGAAGTCTTGGAATGTGGACGACGCCAGCTGACGAGGTGAACAGTTAAGAGAGTGACCCAGGAGTTACGGCGCGACGCAAGCGGCGGCGGACAGAGGGAGACGGCTGACAAGACAAGCGGCGGACTGGCGGACTCTGCGTCTCAGGGGCTGAAGAAAGAAGAAGAAGGTTTCTGGGTTTGGGGCCTCGGGTAGAAACTGGGCCAGATTTTTTGGATCGGTCAGAACATCCAAGTCTTAAAAGATAATTCAAGTCTTAGAGCATCATCACCAATACTGCAATATGCACGATGCACATGTAACATGAGAAATAGTCAAATGAATTTTAACACATAAATTATATCTCTCCTTATTTAAATGATTCTATACAAGTTTGATAAGTTTTTCTCTGCAATGTCAACTACAATATCTACATCTAGACGGTCTCGTTGACATTGTGGAGAAAAACTTATCAAAATTGTATAAAGTCATTCAAATAATGAGAGAAATAATTTATTTACTAATATTTATGTGGCTATCTCTCGTGCCACATGTGCACCGTGCACGTTGTAGCATTGGAGATGCTCGTAAGAATATAGGAAAGATAAAAGAACATAAAATGGTTAGAAGATAAAAATAACATAGAAACATAAAGACATAAAGAAGAGAAACAAAATAAGAAAAATAGAGTGGAAAGATAGAAAAGATATCAATCGTGCACACGAATATGCATCCTCCACTTTGCTATCTCCAATGTCATACTCTCGTCCAACCAAGAGGACGCATATCAGTTTTGATATCTCTAATCCAAGTTTGTTTGGGTCCTCCATCCCTCTCCTTTCGGCCTTTTCTCCCTACCCTTTAATTCGTCTAACACGTGCATCACTCGGCCTTCTACGCACATACCCAAATCACCACAAACGAGACTCTTGGATCTTATCTTCTATATGTGCTACTTTCACCTATTATCTAATTATCTCAACCCTCAAGCGGTCTTTTATGATATGTTCACACATCCAACGCAACATATGCATCTTTGTCACACTCATCTTTTAAACGTGACATTTTTTAACCCTCCAACACTCGATGTCATACATTAATGGAGGCCTAATTGTTGTGCGATAAATTTACCTTTTAGTTTAGTCGGCATACTCGATCGCATAGAAATCCTGATGCACTCTTCCATTTCATCCCAAATGGATGTGAAATAGATGAAGAATTGAATGGAGGGCAAGAAGAGGAGGAGGAGAGCAACAAATCTGATGACTCCACAGATGATGGACCGAGAGAGAACTACTATGTGAATGATGGATCAAGCTGTTCTTTCAAGAATGGAATGACCTTTGAAGATGTTAAAGAGGCTTACACATCATTCTCTAATTATGGAGTGAGATTTGGTACAAGCTGAAAGTAAAACCGAATGAGAAGAACCAATTGACAGTCAAGTGTCTTAATGAGTAATGTTGTCTGTTTAGATTGTGGGTATCTGAATATGGCAAGAATTGTGGGCTGGCAGTCAAGGTTTGTAATACTGAACACACGTGTTTTCGGAAATATTTTATTCCAAGTTCTAGCTAGAAGTGGTTAGCAAATTATTTTAAAGATCACCTGCAAAAACATCCTAGCTTCAGAGTTGCTGATATGAAAGAGGAGGCTGAAAAGAAGTTGAAGAAAAATGCGAGTTCTTACTAATCTAAAAGAGCCAAGAGGCTGATTATCCAAGAGATGTATGGGAGCTATAAGGCTGAGTTTGAGTATCTAGAAGCCTATGCTGCCACTTTAAAGAGAACTAATCGTGGTTCGAAAGCTGATATAGAATTATGTAGTGCTGCATTGAAAGAAGGAAAGAGTGTTTAAATGAATGTTCATCTTTTTGCTGCTTTGAGGCAAAACTCTGTTTGGCAGGTTGCAGAAGGATCATAGGCGTGGACCGTTGTTTTTTAAAGGGTGTGTGTAATGGGATTTTGCTGGTTTCAGGGGGAGTTGATGGAGATGGACAATTGGTTCCAATAGTATAGGTAGTGTGTGACAAAGAAAATGAGTCCAATTGGAGGTGTTTTCTAACCTGGCTTGTTCAGGAACTAGACCTCAAGAGTGGTGCTGATTTAACCATTATTTTTTGCATTTTTTATATGCAAAAGGGGTTAATCATTGCAGCTAAGGATGTGATACCAGATGCGGAACATAGGTTCTGTGCTCGACATGTTTACACAAATTGGTCAAAAAGTGGAGCGGCGATAAGTTTTGCAAAAAAACTTGGTATGTGCATGGAGCACATATGAATAAGAGATGCAAATGAACTTCTTCTAAAGGCTTTGAAAATCAAGCAATGAAGCTGCTTTTGATGTATTGAAATGTCCAATTCAAACATGGGGTCGAGTATACTTTAGTAGCCGAAGTAAATGTTGGGTGATTGATAATAACATCACAGAATCCTTTAATGCATGGATTCGAGAAGCCAGAGCAAAATCCATTGTGAACATGCTAGAAGATATAGTTTGGACATCCATTCTTGCTCCCCTCTAGGACCTTTCTGATAATGGCTATCATAAGTTACAAGAACATTCAAATTTTTTCTTTGAAATCAGTCATCACTTGATCGCCAAAGATAATCATTTAACTTCATCTCTTCATGGAAATAGATGATTTTTTTGGTTTCGTTTTCTAACTAAAGGTCCTTATATCGACAAAAAGTTTGAAACGAAGCATCCTATAATGATATGGAGTATTAATTTTGGATCTCACTAACATAGATGTAAATTTTATGTTTTTAGTTAAAAAGTTAGGTAGCATAAGCATAATCAGGCAAAGAAAACTAAGATACCACGATTGCACCGTTCTTAATATACAGGAGATCACCCGTGTGGTTCAATTCGATGTCATGATTTCAAGTACCAACAATCTACTTCATTCGAAATATCTCAATAGTCAATATTCTTTCTTGGTAATTGGTATGTCTACACACACTATGATTGGTTAAAAAGATATCAAATTTTTCAAACAAATGCATACCATAGAGAATGAGCCTGACTGATTGGGGCTGTATTTAGAAGAGGGTAATATAGATCATTTCAATTAAGTTTTTATAAAAATATTAATTTGTAACGGTTGATAGTACTATAAGGGTTGTGAATAGAATTACCCAAAAAAGTTCCCGGGCCCAAGCCCCCCTCCCCCGCCTCGTAAAGAACACCCAAGCTCCAGAAATTCAAAATGTAGGCCTATGAATGCAAAAGTTTATTAAGAGAAAAAAGTCAAATGAGGTTTTCTATTATTATGAAATCATCACATAAGACCATGCACTCAATTAGGTGTCATATAAATACGTCCACTTATAAAAAGCAATCAAATGAGTCTTAATGACCTGTAAACAACCTTGTAATTCCGATTTTAGCGTACGCCTGACTATCTTTTCAAAATAGATTATGAGGGTGACGGAAATATTTGGTAAAGATTGGCTTATTCAAGGCAAAAATAATGACACATAGGATTTTTTCTTTTGGACTGTTTTCAGTCCCAGACCAGACCAAATCAGACCAGAACAGACTTAAACAGATCAGACCAGACTTAAACAGACCATACCAGACTAGACCAAACTTGGACAGTTATAAAATACACAAAGACCAGACGTTTACTAGACCAGACCAGTTCAGACCAGACCAGACCAGACCAGACTTAAACAGACCAGACCAGATCTGACCAGACCAGACCAGACCAGCAATTTTCAATCCAAAAGAAAACATCCATAAACTAAGATCAGGTTTATGAGGTTGTCAATGGGTCGTTTTGACTCACCCGATTGCTTTTTATAAATAGACGAATTTATATGACACTTTATTAAGTACATGATATTATGTGACGATTTCGTAACAGTAGAAGAACTTATTTGACCCGTTTCACAAAGTTTAACAAGATGCGTACGGAGTAGTATTTAAAAAATGTTTTGGGTTGGGCTTTTATCAGGGCCCTTAGTACTTTGCTTTCGTGAGAAGAAAGGTCAATTCCAATCCACAGATCCACCCCCAAACAGTTTTCGATCTTCTATTTCACAAACCTCTCGTTTCCCTGCAATCCGTATCTTTCTCATCAGAAGTGGAAAATGGGCCAGGGAACTCCCGGCGGTTTGAACCGGCAACTCCCCGGAGATCGTAAAAATGAAGACAAGAAGGATAAGAAGTTTGAGCCGGCAGCGCCGCCTGCACGAGTTGGTCGGAAGCAGCGGAAACAGAAGGGGCCGGAAGCTGCTGCTCGGCTTCCAACGGTTACTCCGCTTTCGAAGTGCAAACTAAGGCTCCTGAAGCTTGAACGGATCAAGGACTATCTACTGATGGAGGAAGAGTTCGTAGCTAATCAGGAGCGGTTGAAACCTCAGGAAGAAAAGACTGAAGAGGATCGATCCAAGGTCGACGATCTTAGGGGCTCACCTATGAGCGTCGGAAATCTCGAAGAGCTAATCGATGAGAACCACGCCATTGTTTCTTCTTCAGTGGGGCCGGAATACTATGTGTCTATTCTATCTTTCGTGGATAAAGATCAGCTCGAGCCTGGATGTGCAATTTTAATGCACAATAAGGTAGCTATCTGGTTAGATTTTGTAATATTTTTATGCTGAATTGCAATAATTTGTACGTGATTGAACTATTAGCTTAGGGGTTCATAGGAAGAATTGGTGACTCGTTTAGAACTGGTGTGTAAGGTCTATATGCTAATGATTTTTAGGTATAATTTCTAAGAGATAATGCTCAAATTATAGCTTTTCAGGGGGCACAGATAGCTTCAAAGATAATCATATGGTTAGTAGAAAGGCAATGCATTTGGGTGTCATAAACTTTCAATAGGAGTAATCTATTTGAAACTTTGAAATTCCAATAACCTAGGAAACTTCATCCTTTTGAGTTCTAATCCATTTCCACTGAAAGGAAAAAGGCTAGCTAAACTAACTGAAGTATTATAGACCATGCATTTGGTGTTTTATATATTGGTCTTAAAATTGCTAATAGTTGTGCTCAAATATTTCTCTTTATTGGTGAAATTTTTTGTATCCGATTTGTGTTTTATTGGCTTAGACAAAAGGGGAGAACACGATTTATTCACTTATTCTTATTTTTAATAGCATATTGCCCCAATATTTTAGTCTTCACTTGTTTTTCTTTTTCTTTTTTAGGTTATACGGAGTATCTATGATGGTTTTTTTTTTGCACTAAGAACATAAAATTGATGTCTTTAAATTTGGCA